GGCCCTAAGTTCAAACCCTGGTAACATACACACACACAAAGATGATGTCTGCCAAAATGTTGTAAGAAAGTCCATAAATAAGCAAAGATGATAAGAAACTCAGTACCAAAAAGGACCCAAAATTCAGCATCTTATTCCACATGTTCTGTGAAATAAATGCTGGTAAATTGTTCTGGAGAGAGATAGTACTAAGAAAAATGAGGAAAATGCTGTAGAATGCTCAATTTTGGCCAAGAATGAAGGAAACCAAAGAAAAACGCAAGGAACTGACTGCCAGGAGACACAGGCTGTTCTTTGAGAGATTCTACTTGTGAATCCAGTCAAAAATAAGGCTATGCTGGGCATAGTGGTGCATGGCATTTAATTATCACTCGGATACTAAGGCAGGAGGATCACGAGCTCTAGGCTAGCCTGAACTACGTAATTCCAGGCCAGTCTAAGCAATATAGTGTGAGTCTCTGTCTCTAAAAGCCAAAAACAAAAAAGTTTTCCCCACCACCTCTGGCTGTCTTCATTATTGAAACATAATATTGATGTACCTTCACATGTATACGGTGTATAGTGATGGAATCAGGGCAATAAGCATTTCCACTTCTTCAACTATTAACTGATTTTTTTCCCTGCAGTGCTGGGGGATTGAACCCAGTCATTTTTATATATTAGGAATTCTATATCTAATCATTTTGAAATACCTTGTAGATTTAAAAAAAAACAAAACAGTCTATTGTATAAAAGAAGAACCAAAAGTAATCCCTCCACTGTGTTTTGGTGCCCCTTATTAAACTTCTGTGTATACTCCCTCATTCCTTTCCTGTGGTCTTTAGTGACTACTATTCCATTCCATTTTTCTACAGGATCACTTACTAGTTTCCATACATAATGACCCCCAGTTCCATACTACATATTCAAGATTTCATTCTTTTTTATAATTGAATAGTATTCCATTGTGTAGATATATCACTTTTCCTTTTATCCATTTGACCACTGAAGGTCTGTTGTGAATAGTGCTGCAGTAAACATGAGAGTGCAAGTACTTTTTTATAGTATAATGATTTTATCTCCTTTGGATATGTACCCTGTGGTGGAATTGCTGGATGCTTATATTTTTGGTTCTTGAAGGAGTCTCCATACTGTTTCATATAATAGCTACACTAGTTTTTCATTCCCACCAGTAGGATATACAAGTTCTTTTTTTTTTTGGTGAGGTATTGGGAATTGAACCCATACCTGACATCATTTTGTTAGGCATGTACTCTACCACTTGAGCAGTGTCCCCAGATACTTTGTTTGTATCGTGCTGTGCTAGAGATTGAGCCCAGGGCCTCCCCTGTGCTAGGATAAATGTTCTACTCCTTAAGCTGTACTCCTAGCTCTCCCTTTGTTAAGTTGGCCTGAACTGGCCTTGAACTAATGATACTCCCAAGTAATTGAGATTGCAAGTGTGCACCATCATGCCTGGGTTCTCTTTTCTTTTTGATGACAGCTATTCTAAACTGGGTTGAGGTATCACCCAACCCAGTTTGTTTTTTTGGTGGGACTGGGGTTTGAACTCAGGGCTTTGTTCTCACAGAGCAGGTGCTCTTGCACATGAATCACACCTCCACTCCATTTAGCTTTGGTTATATTTGGAGATGGGTTCTTTTGAACCGTTTCCCTGAACTGGCTTCGATCCACAATTCTCCAGATCTCAGCTCCACAATTCTCCAGATCTCAGCTTCCCAAGTAGTTAGGATTACTGGTGTGGGCCACCAGGGCCCGACTCTTTAAGTGTGGTTTTGATTTGCATTTCTCTGATAACTACTGAAATTGACTAAAAAATAAGAAACTTTAAAAAATAAAAATAGGAAGCAAAGTATAACATCCTTTAAGAAACCACAATAATAAATTAGGTAAAACAGCAGGGGACTGGTGGCTCATGCCTATAATCCTACTCATGCTACTCTGGAGGCAGAGATCAGGATGGTGTTTTGAAACCAGCCTCAAGCAGATAGTTTGTGATACCCTATCTCGAAAAAACCCATCACAACAAAAGGGCTGAGAGTGGCTCAAATGGTAACTGCCTACCTAGCCAGTGTTGAGGTGCTGAATTCAAACTCCAGTGCTGCTAAAAAGATAAAAACAGGTAAAAGCAAAAATAGCAACCCTAACTGAGTAATTTGTTGCTGATCTTTCAGTAATGTATAGCTTCCTATAGCATTTTGAGATTTTATTTCTTTTGGGAGGGAGTTTTACTATACTGTGTCTGCTTTAATCGGGGTGACCTGATTATTCATTTTTATTTCTATTTAAGCATTGTCAATCTCTCTGACTTGAATGGCTTTTCTCCATCTGTGCCAGTTCTATTACTCTTTCATCTGATCAATCAGTTCTCCTTCAAAAGGACTGTAATAGGGCCACTTTTCTCTCTTTTTTTTTGTTAGTCAATATTAGAGGTGTTGCTGGATTTTTTTTTTTTTTTGAGAAATGAATTTTTATAAAGTGAGTAGTACTTCTCATTGGTGTATCCAAAGAGGAAAAATCCTTGATCTAACCATGGGTGTCAGACATTGTACATTTTCCATAGTGGAACTCCTTTCCATGCAGCTAGTGTGTCACCTAACCTTTTGTAGAATAATTATGCTGCATGTCGTGTGTTAATTATGCTGCGTTTCATGTGTTAGGAATAAGCTTTATTAAAGGTAATGTTCAAGTTTTTTTACCTCCACTGTAAAGACTGGTTTGCTAACCTGGTATCCCAGACCTGTAAGATTCATGGTTCTCAAAGTAGTCCCAAACCAACATCAGCACATTACCTGGGACTTTCTAAAAATGCAGATTCTCAAACCCCATTTAAAAGCTGTTAGGTCAGAAACTGTGGTGAGGCTCAGCACTCTGTTTTAATAAGGCTTCAAGCTGGTTTTAATGCTCTTGAGTAAGACAGCCAACAATAGAGAACTTTGAGGGCATATATTTGATATTTTCTTAGTACCAGGTGCCATGGTTTAGTTAGAAAATGAGTTCAAAATAGAGCACTGCAATTTAAATAGCTGTACAGTCCCAAAATTATCACTAAACTCAATTCTAAAATTTAGAGGCAATAGTAACATTAGAATAGTTCTGAGGGCGAACTAAGTACGAAACAAGAACCTCATGTATTCTTAAGATCAGTATAAATGATAGTTGCAAACCGCTATGCAGTATCTCTCTGATTGGCTTCCTTAGTTTAAATAAAAGTAGCAAACACTATCATCTCGTTCTTTTAAAGGTTTAATGAGATTATGTAGTGCTCTCACTCTGCTTTCTTTATGGCAGCTATTTGTTATTTATAAAACTAATCTTTTTTATATCTATTATTGTGCTTCTATCTCTTGATTCTGAACTTCTGTTCTACTTAAGTACTAATTTTTGAGTTCCAAATTTCAGTGTCCTATACCAGATTGATCTGCATGGACCAGGTCCTTGGACACCTCAAGTATTGTTTGTGCTGTACTTTTAAGAACCACAATATTAAGAATAGGGAATTAAATATGTCAGCTAGTAATTTAGGTACAGTGGCAATACACTGCCTGGTATGGTTACCACCTTTCAGGTTATAGCTTTTGGAAATTACTGAGTTTTTCAGATTTGATTTCTTTCGGAAACATGCTGATAAATTGTATAATTAGAATACCCATTTACAAAATGAAATAGACGTACTAAATAGCATTTTCTTTCAATAAGAAATTTTCAGGATTGCCTCTTAAACGTGGATTCTGAGCAGTGGGGAATTAACTTTGGTAATCTAAGTGATGGTGACATCAGGGTATGTTGTGCACTGATGTATACATCCCTATTGTAGCAGTGTGTTTATCACATGGACTAGACTTACACTGTCCATAAATAAGCCAAAGAATGCTGAAAAACTATAAAGCATGTCTTACTTCATGAGTACCATTTTTCTAGGTTCTAAACTGACCTGACACCTTTCTGCCTTCCAGAGCATATGTTTATGTGTTGTGTTGTGTCTAATAAGTTCACATGATTTGGATTAAACTTTGGTTTTTTTTTAACTAGAATTTTGTTATGCTTCCCTGATACTTAGCATTTCTTGATTACTGATTAGAGTGAGTACTTTCTACAGAAAGTCTACAGAAAGTTGATTCACTGCTAAGGGTATTTCTTTATTTTAGTCTTAGAGTACTTTTTTTTTTTTTTGAGTTGACTAAGGAAGGTCTCTGACTGAGGCCCCATAGTGTACTGAAAAGTTAGATGGATATGCAACTTGTGATTCCTTCCTTCAACTCCCCCCCCCCCAAGGCCTGGGGCTTGAACTCAGGACCTCACACATGGTAGGCTTGGTAGGTAAGCACTGCCATTTGAGCCCTGCCCCAGATCCATTGTATGATTCTTTTTTTTTTTTTTTAAAGAAAGTGCTTAGTTTGTCTGTGTTTTGTTGGCTTATTTTTGAAACAGGGTTTGTTTGTTTTGGTGGTGGGGTATTGAACCCAGTGTCTTGAACATGCTAGGCAAGATTTTACCACTGAGCTATATCCCCAGCCCAACATGAAATGATTTTATATATAAATGGGTATAATACAGAATCTATAACGTAATCCACTATCATTCTTTTATGTCATTGCTATTTTTCCTACAGTTTGTTTTGTCCAAGCAATAAATTTCATCTCCTATTCTCAGTTTATTAACTTAGTTCACATTGTTTTCTAATCTACTTCCTAAGTATGGTACTCTTAATAATTCATACATAAAAAGTGCAGGCTGAATTCATGGCAAAAACAAGAATCAATTTTAAACCATTGCCGTTTCTTACTATACTTAAAACTTTTTTTAGCATTTAGAATCGGCCAGTTCTTAAAATATTTAAAAGGTTTTAGAAATATTTTCAGTTTTGCTTTTCATGACTTGAAAAATTTTCACAGTTTTAAGAGTATTCTGTATAGAATGAGTACTGTATAGATTTGTGAGTTATGAACTAGAAATATGAAATCAATGATTTGGAAATTGACTTGATTTTGTGTATTTAGGAAGGCGACATGCCAATTCATGAACTTCTCAGCCTTTATGGTTATGATAGTACTGTTCGACTACCTGAAGAAGATGAGGAGGAAGAAGAGGAGGAAGAAGAAGGTGAAGATGACGAAGATGCTGACAATGATGATAACAGCGGCTGTAGTGGGGAAAATAAAGTAAGGTTACTCACATACATAGTAGTTCCCCTCTTATCTGTGGAGATTATACATTCTAAGACACACAGTGAATGACTGAAACCACAAATCATACTGAACTCTAAATATAAGTTAGATACAATAAGGTCAAATGCTAAAAATTGATATGTTAATATAAATATTGTAAGTGTTCTGTAACCCACTCCTGAAAGCTAGGAGTTTGGTATGTGTCATTCCAGAGTTCTTTTCAGAGCTTTTTCCCAAACAGTTTATACCAACTTAAAAAGCAAATGCTATTGCCTTTAAACAATAATGGCTAAAAGACAGTTTGTGTTCATTTTCCTTGTTTCATTTTGAAATAATTTTAGATGTAAGAAAAGGTTCAAAGTTGCCATAAAGAGTTTCTATATATTCTTCACATAACTTCTCCTTATATTCATACCTTACTTAATCAAGGTGTATTGTATCAAACTTAAGAAATCAACTGGTAAAATACTATCAGCTACCATATAGACTGGTTGGATTTTTGCCACTAAGACCTTTTCTCACTCAAAAGGGCCAGCCCAGGCCACTGTGTCGAATACTTCTAGTTATATTTAGAACAGAATTCTTTGTGGCCTTGCACCTGCAGCAGTGTTCTTTACATTTTAAATAAATTTATTATTCTATAGGAAGAGAACATAAAGGATTCATCAGGTCAGGAGGATGAAACTCAGTCTTCCAACGATGATCCGTCACAATCTGTTGCTTCTCAGGATGCTCAAGAAATTATCCGCCCACGTCGATGTAAATATTTTGATACAAGTAAGTGTTACTATCAGTGCTATAGTTACAGTATAACTTTAACTCTTTAATGTATTAATGTGTGTTTCACTGCTCTCTGTTTGAATTTATCTATTCTGAAATCTCTTTCAAAAGTAAATGAATTTTGTTGTAGGTTATTTATTTACCCATACTAAACACCCTTTTGTCAGTGAATATATTTATAATAGTTTTTTCATATACTGCCTCACTTTGGATATGTTCCTTTTATTTTGTGTAATCTTTAACTTTTTACTTTCTACTTTTCTTTGCCTCTAGCCCCCCCCCTTTTTTTTTTTTTGGTAATACTGGGGTTTGAACTCAGGGCCTCCTGCTTGTTAGGCAGGCACTCTACCACTTGAGCCACTCTGCCAGCCCTGCCTCTAGCCTTTTTTTAAATAAAGCCATAGTTATGTATCACTTAATAACAGGGATACATTCTGAGAAATGTGTTGTTAGGCAATTACTTAGTTTTGCAAACATCATAGAATGTACCTATACAAACTAAAGTGGCAACATCTGTAATTTCTACATTGTTGTTGACCAAGACATCAGTTATGCAGCACACAACTGTATTCACAAGCATTACTTTCTCTAATCTTGTAACTCAGGTCTAAAAATGTGGGTGACTCTTGAGGTAGAAACAAATATTTGTGTGTTTCACCTGGTTTGCCATATTTCATTCAAAGCCCAAGCTGTTACTCTAAAAGATATTTGATAAGAACAAGTCAAGAACCAGTATTATTAGTTTATAAATTCTTGGTCTACATTTCTATACTTTAAAAGGATGAAAACCACTTGAGGAAAAATAACCTCATAAACTTCATAGTAAGGTAATTAGTGATTAAACATGGCTACTTTGTGAATGATTTAGTTTAGAAGGGCTTGTAATACACTGCTAATTATATTTTTTCATGATGATAGAGTTTTAATCAAATATCTGGTCTAAGTGAAAGTGTATTTGTACGAGGTAAGCTTAGTTATTGAAATTCTTGTGTTAATTTTGTTTGGGGGAGAATGTGGTATTTTTAAACATGTATTGCCAAAAGTTTGCTAAAAAGTGGGATACCATGTAACAGGTTTGCCTCTTGGAACAATATTTCTTCCATATTTCTAATCTGGTACTTCAGTTATGATGTATGTATGGAAGTTATATATACACATACACCTCTTACATTAGTTTTTCCATAGGAGGCTTACATAATTTCTGTGCATGATGTCCTTTTGAACTTTGTTGTTTTAGGTTTGAGAAGATGTTGACAATCTAAAAATTTTCATATTTCCCATCCCTTTATGTAAATATGTACTTATTTCAAAATGTAAACAAATAACAGCTTTCCTTCTCTGAATAAAATGGAGGTTGAAAAAAGGGAGACCTTTCAAACATAGCCTGCCTTCATATAGTCCCTCTAGAGTTTGCTACACAATTAATTCCCTGTATTATAAGGAACACTACTTTGTCCAAACCCTGATTTTATGAAGAAATTGAGATCCTCTGACTTAGTCTGTCAGCAGAATGAAGATTAGGAACAGATTATCTTGACAAATCAGTTTTCCTAAAGTTGTTGTGGGAAGTCATTTTCTGAGATTACAATTGCCCTAGAAGATTTACGTTTTTTTGATATTTTTTTGTTTTGTTTAGTTTTTATAGTGAAAGTGAGAGCAAAACTTACTAAGAAAGATTTATACCTTCAGTAGACTCAAAGTGGGTCATCTCTGGTTAAGAATGACAACATAAAAAGTTTATAGTATTAGTTCATAGTAAAGTTTATTAGAATAGAGATGGGTGACAGAGAAGTTGAGAACAAGCTTGTTGTTTTATTGTTTTGGTCTGGTTTGGTTTTCCTGTTGAAAAGATAGGATATTGATATTTTGATTAAAAATATCTTACTTTGGCCATGCATGGTAGCTAATATCTGTAATCCTACTCCAGAGGTTGAGACAGGAGTATTGTAGCTCAAAGAGCCAGACTCTGCAAAAAGTTCTCAAGGCCCCATCTCAACCACAAGCTGGGCATGGTGGCTCTAGTCTGTCATCCTACCTACCTTGGGAAGGGTAAATAGGAGAATCCGGGTCCAGGCCAGCCCAGTCATAAAGCAGACTTATCAAAAATAAGTAAAGCAGAAGGGACTGTGGGGGCATGGCTTAAGTAGTAGAGCTCCTGCCTAGCAAATGCAAGGTTCTGAGTTCATTTTCTAGTACTTGCCAAAAACAAAATCTTACCTTAACTCAATAGACCTTTTGCATTTCTAAATATTTCATGGTAGATATACAAATGATACAAAGGTTGTACAAGTGGATAGCATAAGCATGCACTTTATAGTGTCATTGTCTTATTTATTCTAGATAGTGAAATAGAAGAAGAATCTGAAGAAGATGAAGATTATATTCCATCAGAAGATTGGAAAAAGGTACTTATATCCATATTTTCCTAAAAAGTAATATTTTTAGAAACCAATGTAATTATTCTTTTATTAATTCTGTATACTGATATGGTTGATGGATAAGTCCTTTTATGTGACATTTAAGCATTTGATAAATGTTCACATTCCCCCTTCTTAACATGCAAATAAAAGATACTTTTTATAAAATAAAATGACAGTATGGAAAGAATTGTATTTTGCTGAGAGTGTCAATACTCAAACCAATATTAGAAATCTAATCTAGTTCTGAACCACTGCTAAATTAAGGCTTATGTTGCCCTGTAAAATATATTACTTTTAAAAGACATGTATTTTGGAGAATAATTGTTGAGGCTTTGATATTTGTTAAGTAAATATTTTCAAAATTTACTTAGATTGCAAGTTTTCAATTCCACATTACTTTATAAAAGAGAAAAGTCTCAATCTTTGTGTTTAATGTTGATATTTATAATTAGTAACTTTATTGTGTAAAGGGACAGATTTAGCTTTTTTTTCTAAGTATACACAGGTTAACTGTTTATTTCTAAAATAATGCAAAACATTAGTTTTTATTTATAAAATTACACAGCATTATATAAGTGGCCTAGTAGTTAAAAGTTGCAGAAGAGCTGCCCTCTTAAGGAAAATCTATCAAAACATTATGTAGAATTGGCCAAAACAAATTACCTATATTAAAGAAACTATACTATTATTGAGAGGTATTTGCCTGATCTGTTCCCTTTAAAAAAAAGAAAAAAATTGAATTTTTTGTTCTTTTTCTTCCTGAGTCTGATTTTTTTAAATTTAGTGTATAAACAATCATCGCTTTAAAAACAAAATAGTTCAAAACATCAGATTGAGTGGCATTTTTGTACTTTTTCAGTCAAGATGGTTTAATTATTAATTTGAACCTACTGAATTCTTTTTGGTTTGGTTGTATGTATAGTTCTGCTTTTGTTTTTTTTAAGATGGCTTAAAGTTTTCTGGGTTAGAATGGATGAGGCAAACTTTAATTGCTGACCCTTTTGCCAATTAAAATAGGAAGCATCACGTACTTATGATTTGAATTTGGAAGAATGAAGTAATCAAATGTACTTAGATTGGGCTGCCTATATATTCTGAGCTTTAGCCAGAATTCATCTATTTATGGGTTTCCTAAGGGATGTTTCCCATAGACATGCATTGTGTCTGCTAATAGATGAATAGAGACCAAGAAACAGATAACTTTTAATAAATAGTGACTAGAGTCTAAAGAGTTGGGGGGGCATACTTTGTGGGAGTAAGGGGGTTAATTTGTTCTGTTTGTTTTTTGAGAGAAGTTCTAACTATGTGGCCCAGACAGGACTCAAATTTACCATCTTCCTGCCTAGCCTCCCAAGTGCTGGGATTATAGGTACTTATCAATATGCCAAGGTGCAATGCATACTTTCCTACATTCTGAAAGTGACTGAGTACCTCATGTTTACATTGCTGTTAAGAGACAAGTACCTTTCTTCTCCAGAAGCTTACAGTTTTTACTGCAGGAATGGAAAGATGACCTATGGAAGAAGTTATATAACATAACTATACGCATTTTTTAAATTGGATGAGACCAACACAAAGATGTAGAAGTTAAAAGAGAGAGATCAGTGTGAGCTTAGAATGGTAATGGTAAAGGAACACTGAAGTACATTTTAATTTGAGTCAGCGATGGGACAGAAGACAAACAAAGATCACAAAAGTTACTTTGCTGTTGATGTGACCTATTTGGGCAAGTGTTCTTCAGTCTGTTTTATCTGATTCCTATACCATGCAGGAATTAAAGATGAAAAACCAAGAAACCTTTGGAGTCCTGTTGAATGGCTATTTTCCAGCACAAATTCAGATGTTTTCCTTTTTCTCTGACATACATTGTTTTTATATCTATAGAACATTTTTGATCTTAAACAATATTTCTCTTCCATGTTGTACATGACAAATTAACAGGTAAAAAAGGTATTGTGAACTCAATAGGAAAAAGGAAATCTTCACTCTGGTTCACAAGCTCTCTGCCCGACTTCATGTGAGAATCAGTTGAAGAACTTTTTACTAACGTCCAGGGCCTTTGGTCATGTATGATCACTTACTGGTCTGGAAAGGATCTAGGCATTGATAGTTTTAGAAACACATAGCCAGAGTTGATAACTCATTTATTCTTTGGTAGCATCAGTGAATAAAGTTAAAAGAAGTATAGGGAGTAATAATAGAGGATTCTCTTAATGGTAAGAGACATAAAGAGAATTCCTATGAAATTGTGCAGAAACTTTGTTGTGTGTAATGTTCTTTTTAAAAACTGATCATGAGAAAGGCTAGTTTTCCTTGGTACAATGATGACTTTATTTATTTCATAGAGCATGTCTGAAGTTCAATAGGTAAATGGATCCTCACAGCAGTAACAATAGCAGGAGAGAGCAACTTTTCAAATACTAATAGTTATCTACTGCTTAGACTATTTTTATACTACCTTTCCTGCCCAAGTTTTCATTTAAAAACACTAGAAAATTTGGTCTTTTTTTAGTCACCAGACAAAAAAGGGTCCATGTGATCTTGGTCTCCATGCACTGTGAAATCTCATTGATGGTGATTCTAGTTGCCTTTCTAAACATACAGTTTCACTTAATCTGACTTGATTATATAGATTTAATTATCACATTTCCTATAACAAGCTGTAATTAAGCTTTTATAGAGGGTACATTTTCCATTTATAATGTTTTAATGACAAAGCATTAATCTGCTTATCATTTTGGAGTTTCATTCATTTGGTCACTACCTTTTGTGTTATTTCCCTTATTTTAAATGCCTGTTTCTCAGACTGTGTGTGTGTCAGAATCACCTATAGCGTATTAAGATCCTGAGTCCTAGCCTAGAGTTTCTGATTTAGTAGGTAACTACTAAATCTGCTAAATGAAAGTCTGAGCACTTTCATTTTTAACAGTTTCCCAAGTAATGATGCTGGTGATGGAAAGTATCTTAAAGTTTAGATACTCTGAAAGTACCTGCATTTGACTTTGTTTTTTCAGGATATTTTGTGATCAGAATTCCCTTTCATTTATTTTATCCATCTTAAGCTTTGTATTCGTTGTCTACATTGAATTTCAACCATTGATATTAATTAGTATTTTCATCCAATCATAGCCAACCTCTTACCTATTGTTAACTCATTCATCCTCACAATACTCCTCTGAGGTAGTTAACTGGTTTTATGACAGAAATACCAGAGAGAGTTTACCCAAGAAGATGGTTAAACTAGAAAATGAATATAAAAATTATGTTGCTAGATCTTAACTAATGTTTTGTGTTGTTACTAAAACAGGAGATTATGGTGGGGTCCATGTATCAAGCAGAGATTCCAGTTGGCATTTGTAGATACAAAGAAAATGAAAAAGGTAAGTTAATAGAAAAGTTACATATCTGGACACACTTTTGAAGAGATGAACTGTTATTTTTTATGTAAATGTGATAAAAACATGACAGTGTACTAAATAACACCATTAATTTATGAAAGAAAACGCTGCATTTTATCTTTAAGAACTGTGTTTACTGTTTTTCCAGTTTTTTTTTTTTTTTTACTATTTTTAAATGCTCTGAACCATACCCCTTTCTAACATTTATAATTTAGTTTTTAAAGGCAGGTTATTTTATGTCAGTGATAGGCAGGTTTAAAAAACAAATGGAACCTGTATATAGTGTTGTACACCTGTCACCCCAGCACTCAGAAGGTACAAGCCTGGACATAGCAGGTTCAGAGTCAGCCTGGGCTACATAGTGAAACTGTCTTAAAAAACAAGACATAACTGGAAAATACACAACTAATATAAAGCTTACTTTATGCTGGGCATGGTGGTTCATGCCTGTGATCCCAGCTATCTGGGAGGTAGAAATTGAGATTCTCTTGGTCCTAAATGTGTACTGATCTGACTTCACATATAACTAACTATATTCAGCTCGTAAGATACCAACTGTTCCTGCCTTCTTCTTCTTTGGTTTATTTATTGTCAGACATGCTAAGATGACTACTGGCAATTTGTGTTACACTTTACACAGTTTTACAGCTAGAGAACCAACAAAAATAAGGATTTCGTTTTTCCCTAAAGCTGTAGCAAAAAGTCTAGAGCTCTCCCTAAAGTTCTGGAGAGACTTGTTCCCTGTTGACTCAGCTTGAGTCATAAACCTGACCAGAAGAAATCACTGTGACCAGAGAGCAGAGGGCGGGGGGGTGTCAGCCCTGCCATACCATATAGGAAAGGGCTTATATGAGCCCTGAAGGAGATGCTGGTCAGATCAAAAGCATTCTACTTCACAAGGTGAGGTGTACTTTATTGTCTCTCCGATGTACTAAATTGATTGTGATGACCAGAGTAAGGAATGCTGGTAAACAGTGCAGGACTGACTCCTCCCTGCTCCTATTGACGGAAAATGTTGGGGTCCTGATTGAAAGGTTCTAGATAAACTGAGAGGCAGCAGGAAAGAACAGTAAGCACATTCCCACCCAAGTCTTCATGCTTGCATGACGTACATTTTTAGATGGCCCATGTAAATTGTGTCTAACAAACTCATAGCAAATTATTTTTCATTTTTTTGCAGGGTGGGACTTAAGGGGTTTGGACTCTTTTTTGGGTTTTTTTGTTTTGTCTTGAGACAAGGTCTCGTATGTTGCCCAGGCTGGCCTCAAACTCCAAATTCTTCTGACTCAACTTCCCAGTGCTGGGATTACAGGTGTGTACCACGATGCCTGACTGAATTAGAATCTTTAATAAGGCACAATAAGGAACACTTCCTCAGCTAACCCTTGCTAATATACTAGTGAACTGCCTGCTGTATAAGTAAAATTCTTTCATTTTCCAATAATAACCAGTGCATGTATTTCTGATTGCTTTTTAAAAGTTGTAGTATTTAAATTTGGAATACATTTAGAATCAGTTTTAGAAAATTCCATTTTATTTTAGTACTCCATCTTTCAAAATCTAGCATGCTCATGTCACTTAATGTGATTATAATAGAGAACTTTTTTCCTTTCTATTTCTCTTACAGAGTTTCTTTTCCTTCATATCATATATATAGATAATATTTCTCCTTTGGTTTTTGGCATGTTTTATCTTAATAGTATAATTCTGTATTTCTCCTTTTCATATTTTAGTCATGCCATAACATTTAATTAGAGCTCAGACTTAATGGGAAAGTAATTCGATCTGTTTTTTTATTAGTAAAGGCAGTGTGAATTATTCTCTGGAACTGCTAATTGTTCTCACCTTATATCTCATAGTGATTGTTGAGTATATTGTAATTGCATAAATTGAAGTGTATTATTCAAATAATCAGGGCTAGTCTACCTGTTTAGCCGCAGTTCTGGAAGTCTGACTTGTCATTTGGCACCACCTGGTGGTGCTTGTGTACCAGCTTCAGTAAGACCATCCCGTGGGATTTGCAGAATTGTCAGAGATTCCAGAAATGTCTTCTAGGTAGTTTGTCTTCTTTCATAGTTTAAATGGAAGAACACTTGGGACTCAGGGATCCACCCTTTACCTTCCTCTTCCTGAAACAGTCTTGTCTAACCCAAGAATATAAGTAATCTGTAGTTTGCTGCCATTGGAGGACAGTGGCTGAGCACAGAACAGAAATCAGTAGCAACATATCCACATTCACTTTATCATAGGCGTTTACTGTACTAAAAATGTATAACTAAAATTATATAAAATTGTTGAGAAAAGATAAACATTTATTAAGAATTTCAGGATATTGGCCTTTGAACTGTATTTTAAAGAAAAGTATGTATTTTGAGAAACAGAAAAAGGTAGATGTGTATTCTTAAATATATGTGTGGATGGAAGGGCAAAGTAAGTTCAAGTGAAACAGTGACTGTATCTCCAGGTATGTAAGAGAAGCTTAATTAGCTGTTAATTCCTTTTTGTGATACGAGGAACTTCGACTTAATTACCCTTGCGCTCAAAGTTCTTCTCAAGCAGTTTCCTTCCCATTGGCATTTAAATGTTTGTCTCCTATCTTTAAAAACAAAAGCATGAAAAACTCTCAGCTCTACTTCACTAGCCTTATCTCTACCCTCATAACCACACTTTGCAAGAGTTTTCTACTTTCACTTTCCATTTCTCTTTAGTCTTCTCTAATGTTGCTTCTGTTTCCGTGTCTGCACAGAGACAGTCACATAACACTTCCTTTTCAGAAAATCTAGCAGAGCTTATTCAGTTTGCATCCTGGTCACTCAGTAGGATTTAACTAGTCTTTGAGATTCTCCTTGGAAATGCTTTTTTCTCTTGGCTCCTATTGTGCCATTCTCTTATATTCTATCTTATAACTCTTCCTCATCTGTTTTCAATTCTGGTCATTTAGAATTCTACAAGACCCTGTCTTAGGTTATATTCCTTTCCACTTTTTAAATTTTGGTGAGATTTTAGGTTTTACTCTTACTATACACAATGGAAATGATAGTGAAACTTAAATGCCTTTTTCTTTAAAGTTGACTTTTGTTTGTAAAATTCATATACATTAATATATTTTCAAAATAAAAAGAAGGGAGTAAAACCTAGCATGGTAGGGGGCATCTATAATCCCAGAACTTGGGAGACTGAGGTAGACTCGTAAGTGGCGCATGAAAATCCAAAATTTTCAAAAGATGATAAAGCCAAGCCCCGTGGCTCACGCCTGTGATCCTAGGTACTCTGGAGGCAGAATCAGGAGGATTGCAATTCAAGGTCAGCCCAGGCAAATAGTTCTCAAGACCCTATGTCAAAAATACCCAACTAAAAAAAGGACTGGCAGAGTGGCTCATGGGGTAGAGCACCTGCCTAGCAAGCACGAGTCCCTGAGTTCATATCCCAGTGCTGCCAAAAAAAAAAACAAATTGCCACATCCTAATGCCAAGAAATAGTGCTAACATTTGATGTACATCCTTCTAAACATGTTTTTTAAAATACAGTTTTATTCATTAGCCTTACTATGTGCCAGAACTGTATTTAAGTGCTTTATATTTTAAATCCTTACAACTTCATGTTGTAGTCATTTCACAGATGAACCAGAGAAAAAGGAAGTAACTTGCCCAAGGTCATATAGGTATAAGTGGTAGAGGTGGCATTCAAACCAAGAGAGTTTGGAATGTGTTGCACCCAGGTTAAGTCATCCAAAGGGGCATAATGTGGTCCTTTTTTTCTTTGTAGACTGCTTAGTTTTTCTAGGCTGTAATTATTACCCAAGAAAGAATTTAGGCAAGTAGTAGGACCACACTTTTCCTCTTGGTTTCACCATTTAGCTCTTAATCTTACCTGTTCTCAGAATGAATTATTTGTTCAATAATATGTTTTAATACAGACTCACAATTTTGAACACTTTTTACTAACATTTGTTTTACTAATTTAGTATATGAAAATGATGATCAGCTCCTGTGGGACCCTGAATACTTACCAGAAGATAAAGTCATTGTGTTTCTTAAGGATGCATCTAGAAGAACTGGTGATGAGAAAGGTGTAGAAGCAATTCCCGAAGGATCTCATATAAAAGACAATGAACAGGTATGTAATAAGAAACAATTATGAGGGTCTACAGCCATACCAACCTGAACATACCCAGTTTCATCTGATCTTAGATGCTAAGCAGGGTCGGGCATGAAAGAAAAAACTGTGAGGATTTCCTAATGGAAATTACCCCACACATTTATAAATGTAAATGCTATCACTTTCATTGTTGCAGGGACTCTAAGATTATAATCAGTTATAATAAACAAGAGTCTGCATGTTTTATTTTGCCCATACACACTTTTTGTTACACTTTTAAAAATTATTTTGTCTATCCTTGAGACTCTGTGGACATCATCAAGCTGGGATACTCACCCAAGATAATGTCATGAATGTGGTAAGAGCATACCTACCATGAGCCTAATGTTACAGCTTTTGCTTTTTCTTCTTTTTGAGGGAGCGTTCTTTTCTAATTTCTTCAAAACTATAATAGGAACCTTAGAAAACCACAAAGATGAAATTGCATTTTATATAAAATCAAATATTTTTTGTTGTTTGCAAATTCCTGGGATACTATGGCCACCAAGTTAAGAGTATTTATGTATTTTACATATTTAGAGGTCATTAAATATCAAGATTGAATTCATATTGTTTTCCTTCATGCTCTGTAAGTTGCATTCACTAAAATTACGTGTAGCCCAAAAACAGTAAGAAGCAAATGCTGGATTTGGGGAAAAAACCTTTACTCTTAAGAAACCGTAGCACTAGACTTAACTGTTCATAGTCTAGGTCATACATGGAAGCCTTTTTTCCCCCTAGGCTTTATATGAATTGGTTAAATGCAATTTCGATACAGAAGAAGCACTGAGAAGATTAAGATTTAATGTAAAAGCAGCTAGAGGTAAGCATAAATATTAAATTTTAATTTTTCATGATTTGGCAGAATTTTAAACATTAAGCTAAATACATCCTCAGCTTAATAAATCAGTAAATACTTGCAGAACACAAATATCACACAAGGGAATAGGATTAAGGCTTTCTCTTCCCATACAGAAAACTAAGGCAATTTAAGTGAAAATATAAAAATACATAACGCATTAAAACTTCAAAGCATGTTTATAAAGATTTTCTTACTTGCTATTTGGTAGTAGCCCTATGAGCTAAGCAATATGACAGGTATTGCCTTTACTTTAAGTTGTGGGACTTAGGTCTCTAATCCAAAAATAACTTGTCTGAGGCAAACATAATTCATAAATGTTGCAACCATAACTAAAATCTAAGTTTTCCTGTTTTATTCTAAGTCTGGCTCCCACCCCACGTCACATGAAGAGAGGACTAAGAGAGAGAGAGAGAGAGAGATCTCTTAAACTTGTTGAGGAGAGGATGGGAATTTTAGGGAACGCTTCCAGAATAAAATTTTTTTAATTGATTGAAGGAATTGTGTTGGTAAAACGAATTGTGAGGTAAGGAGGCAGGAAGCATTTCTATGCACAAAGTCTGAAATAAAAAGGATCTTAGCAATTACAAGAAATTAAAATGTGGCTGACAAAGTTGGGTTGTGAAGAACAGTGGTGCAGTCCTGTTGTCCCAGCACTTGGGAGGTTGAGGCAGGAGGATCACAAAGTTCAAGGCCAGTCTGGGCTACGTAGTGAAACACTTGACTGTCTTGTAAAGCAAAAGAGACAACGGCCCACGCTGAGGTTGGAGAGGTAGAGAACAAATCATTCAAAATTTGATTAAGAATTTTTGTCATTGTTTCTACAAATTTTTGTCAATATTAGAGTAAAATATTCCTCTCTCTTTTTTTTAAACCAGAATGTTACCTTTTCACTTGTAGTTTTCTTTGTTATATGTAAAATTTTGGAGAATTTTGCTTTAACAATTTTTCCCCTCTCGTTTTGTCAGAGGAATTATCTGTTTGGACAGAGGAAGAGTGTAGAAATTTTGAACAAGGGCTGAAGGCCTATGGAAAAGATTTTCACTTAATTCAGGCTAATAAAGTAAGTAATAACATACATTATTTTTTTACAGAAAGAAATTTAGCTTAATAATCCAAATTGTCATATCATCTTAATTTGCAGTATTTTCTAATGTTAGTTTCTATAGTGAATATTAACAATGTTTTGGAATAGCTAGTGATTAAATAAGCATCCCTGGACTCCCTGACATAAACAGTGAGTGATATTGGAAATATTTAAGAATCTAATTCATTTACAAGTATGTTAATGAACTTTCACTTGGGGGTATATAATGAAGTCATTTATAGCTGTTTTCCATGGCCTGTGACAAGTCTTTCTAAGGAGGGTCTTTAAAATAAATTTGAAACTTTTAAGCAATTTTAACATGACATTTACAATTAATACATATTATATTTACAAAGTCCTTGGTAATCTAATTATTTGCAGGTTTGTGGAGTGTGTGTGTGTGTTAATAGTATTGGGATTTGAACTCAGGATCTCTTGCTTGCTAGGCAGGCACTCTACTATCTCCTGAGCCATGCCCCTAGCAGTCACAAAAGTCTTACATATGAACCAGGTAGGATTTTTAATAGAAACTACACAATTTTATAGAATAGTATGAGTTCTTGTTGGAGATTAGGACAGACAAAACTAAAGTTTCAGAGTGTATGTATAGAAAATTGATTCCTAGGCTTATAACATCATATTTCTAATAAATGAAAGGACCTTGACTTTACCTGTTTCCTTAAAGATAGTTTCTAAGTTTCGTATAGTAGCTTGTGCAGGACCATGTTGAAAGTATCTAGACTTATGTCTGAAGCTCTAAATAGTCTTTTACCTTGTTCCTCTTTTTGATACTTCTGAGACTGTATGGTATTCAGTTGAATTGTTTCATCACATTTAACATTAGCTTATGAGCATTAAATAAAAGTTACAGATCCTATGAGTTCATTCTTTCTTAATTTTGTTACACTTTAACTAGTTCATTCTTAATTATCTTGGTTCATTTCAGTAATTGACATTGAGCATAACTAATAAAAGGGAAATTTTGAGGTTTAGCATTTAGGATGGCTTAGAAAATCTATGTAATCAGTGTCAAAATGTATGCCCCAAATGTGTCCAAATCATCTGAGAACTTCAAATATAGTCAACATGCTTGGAAAGGACTGTAGCAAGTGATTGACTATGTATGTTTGTAAACTTTCTTACAATTCATCATTTTGGGTGGTCATGGTAGTGAGCACCTGTAATCATTCTAGCCATGCAGGAGGCAGAGGTAGGAAGATCATAGTCTGAGACAGCCCCTGGCAAAAGGGAGACCTTATCTGAAAAATACACTAAAGCAAAAAGGGCTAGCAAGTAGTAGAGCACCTATCTAGGAAGATCCTGAGTTCAAACCCCAGTACTCTCTCTCCCCAAAAATCCCATCATTTCATGCTTGAGAGGATCATTTTATATAAGGGTGGTTTTTTGTTTGGTTGGTTGGTTGGGATTTTTTACTGTTCCTGTATAAATTCAGATTTTGTTGGTGAAACCATGCTGAATAGTGAGGGTATGATGGTAACTACTTTAGCTAAAACAACAACCTCCTCAAAATGTGATTTTTTTTCTTCCACTAAAGGAGTAAGAACTTACTAAGTGACTTGCAAGCACAAGCCCAAAATATCATCATGAAAAATAAGATCTTGATTTTTTTGTAAATATTTGGAATGCTGATCTCTCAGTGTTACAGAAGCCATCCGACTTAAATAATACACTAGTTGCTGTAGTGAACAAAGAGAACAATAATTCTTTGATTAAAAAAAATGGTCTAGGGAAAACATAAAGATTTTATTTCTGTTCTTAGAATTAAAATTTAGATCTTAATCATAAGTTCTACTATGAGGGCTTATGATAGTTAAAATTTTTTACTATGTTAACTTTGTATGCCTGAAAATGTCTTCCCTTTTTGCTTTCAGTACAATACAGTTGACTTTTAATCTATTTTTAATCTATCTAGAATTAAGATTCTGTAGGAGGCCAAAAAGAACGGGAGAGGATGATATTTTCTAAAACTCTTGATAGCTTTCAATCTTGGAGCAAAATGGGTCAAAGTTGTAAAGTGCAAGCAGAGGGAAGAAAGAAATACATGTTGGATATGGATAAGGAAGGGTGTTCCTTATCCAACAGTTGTTCTTAGGTGACATTGGAGCTCCAAGAAACCTGCTTCAAGGTTAGAAATTGATGGATTAAACCAGTATTGTTTTGCATCCAAATACTAATGCATATGCCCTTTGTTCAGACTCCCAGTATTTTTTTTTTATACACTCAATTCTACCAGTTCTCCACCCTAAGTAAAGGAATAAAGGGCAATTTTGTCAGCATCAGGTGCTCATCCCATGGATGTTGAACATTCTGTGAAGGGAGCTATTCATTTGCACAAATAGGTATAGCACAGTAAGCACAGGAGTAACTTAGTAAACAAAGTTTAAGTGATATTACAATAGCTTTTCTCTCGCTTTGGCATATGCTGACGTTCTAAAAAGTACATGAATTGGGATTACTGTTTGGACTAGTGAGAATCTTTTGAAAGAGAATTTAAAGGGTGTGTCCTTAAGTGGTGTATTTGCAATCTGTGTATAATACTCATTTTAACCTAAATACCACTTCCAGGCATTTTTAAGAGGAATATTTGTATTATAGTACATTTTTAGGATGTTGGTATCCTTTAAAAAGCAGAATTCTGAATGTCTAAAGTTCATTTACCAATGTATTATTTCTCTTAGAAAGTTTAGAAGGAATAGCTTTCAATGTAGCAGTTAAGGAATAGCTAGTCTTGGGGGGTTTATTTTTTGTCATTGTTACTGTTTGTTTCGTTAAGACTTCAGTTACTTTTCATGAAATAACTGTTGAGATTCTTAAAAACAAGATTTGTTTCTTATAGGTGAGAACACGGTCAGTGGGTGAGTGTGTAGCATTCTACTACATGTGGAAAAAATCTGAACGTTATGATTTCTTTGCTCAGCAAACACGATTTGGAAAAAAGAAATACAATCTTCATCCTGGTGTAACGTGAGTTAATTTTCTTCCTTTAGGGATATATTTTTTTTTTCTAAGCTTACCTAGATTTTTCTTCAAACAGTTATGGTTTTTAGAATCTTTGTTTTATTACAAAATTTACATTAAATGTACTGTTGGTTGACATCTTCATAGGGAATTTAGACTTTTTAGAGTCTTAAAAAAATTGTAGTTCATATTTGAGACAACAAACGTCATTAAAGCAAGATTTAGAGTGTATATTTTCCTCAAGTAAAAATAAATGGACCTTGAAAAGAAATGGATCAGAACATGTATGAAAATGTTAAATTCTTTTCCATTCAATAAAGCATACACTTTGTTTTTTCTTTTTTCTTTTTTTTTGTTGTGGTGGTACTGGGTTGAATTCAGGGACTCATACTTACTAGGCATTCCCTCTGCCACTTGAGCCATGCTATCACCCCTACAATTTTAAGCTTACTGACACTTTGAAAGCAGTGAGAATATGAAAAAAGATTTCTTTTCTAAAACTACATGTAGGGCCATATGACCAGTAGAGGCCCTTTAAAGAGGAAGGGAAATGAATTGTTTCTTTATCCAATCTGTTTTACTCACAGGAACCAAAGTAAGATTTGAATATAGATACTCTTAACAAAAAGTATAGGGATATAATAAATCAGGCCAAATTACATCTTTTCTGTTATAGACTTTTAATAGAGGGAAGAATATGTACATGGTACATGGTGACTTTCCTTTTCCTACCTGTTCTGAATCTTCTAACAGTAATGTTTAAGTAATATTTAATAATTAGCAGTACAACATTAGCTTTCTCCCAGTGACACAAACTTTGCTGTACCCACTCAATGCAAAATGTTTTACATGCCTAATGCAATTCCCTCGCATCAAATTCTCTTAGCATTCTACCCCCACCAGTGGTACTTTGTTATTTAAATATAAAGAATATTGAATTTTAAAGCAGCAGGAATTGCTTTAAAATGCTGACAAAGTCTTATGGTGGAATTAAGTTTGCAAGACTATTCTTGACTATTCCCTAGTGTTTAAAGAATAAAAATAATTGAAAGCTGTGACTTGATTTGATCTGTATGCCCCAATAGAGATATTCTTAAGGCTGGTCAAATAATTCCTTTTGAAAGATGTGCTTGTTATGTATGCTTGATTGTGCTTTTCAAACTGCTAGGCTTGACTGTTTATTGGTCTTGTTCATTTATAGGTAGGTATTTCTGCTGGTCACTTCCTTAGAGCATCAAATGTTCTAAAGCTAGAAGGAAAATAATCTAAAAGGGAATAATGTAGAGTGCTTTCCTAGCATGTGTGAGGTGCTGGCCTCATCCTCAAGCACTAAAAAAAGAAAAGGAATAAATGAGGAGTATCATTGACCCTTTTGACCCTTGGAAATCTTAAGAATTATTCATTAGTGGTATTCAAACATAATGATGTAGAAAAGTGTAGCTATCCATATTTACAGAGTATATCTTAAAATAGTCATGGTTTTCATACTAACCTATAGGGAAAAGCAATAGTAACATCTTTCATTTTTTTCACCCATTTCAGAAATAATGTTCACACATGAACTTCAGTCAATCTGTCGTCATCAGCAATAAGAACATAAGAATTGCCATGCTGGGTCAGACCCATGGTTCATCCAGTTTTCTTTTTCAGAAAGCATCACCAAGGAAAGTGTTGTGGGCTGGCTTAGTTGGTTCTCTGATGTCAAGCTCAACAGGTTAGGTAGGGATATACCACCAAACATTCTAGTTTCTCTAATAAACTCTCCATGTTTCTGAGAAGTTTATGAAGATACTTATGTCTATAAGCTTGGTTCCTCTTAAGGTTAAGTTTTCTGTAGGTAGAGAAACCATAGTTAAAAGTAACTCATATCTTGTCTTTTCTCAAGCTCTAAGAGTTAATAGTAGTCCCCTGGTAAAATAGTGTGAAGTCAACAAATGTGGTTTTTTCCTTGAATAAGATTACCATGGTGATCAGGGGAGATTACCAAGGAAAGCCTTCATTTTTATCCCCTCTGTGTTTTGTTTTGTTTTTTAAAGAACCATAACTTTTTAACTGAGAACTCAGTCTCTTTAGCTGTGTTATATCTTCTATAAGAGATAGTGATCAGCCTGTATATTAATAAAGGGAGAAGTTGTGATTTTTCTATAAGCACTGAGAAATTTTTCTGGTTTGCTTCCATTTTCCTTTACTAATTACATTTTAAATTATTACATGAAACATTAATGCTTTTAGAGAAAATTTTGAGTGAATTTTCTCATCCTTTTTAAGATCAAAATCCATACTCCATAGTATACTATCCTGAAAATTGGGTTTTTTTTTTTTAATTTTTCCATTAAATTATTACCAGAATGAAGTACATTTGCTACTTTAAATTATTACCAGAATGAAGTACATTTGCTACTTTAGCCTTTGAATGATCCTATTACGGATATACTATTTACTACCTGGAAGAATAGAGAGCCAAATTGGAGATTTCACTATAAAATATTCAGCCTTCCAACTAATTTTGTTAAGTAAAAATTAATCGAGTTACTGGAATGCACTTTCACCTTCTGAGTGGTTATGACTGTAACTTCTTTACTGAGCATTCTGGATTTCATTAATTTTTACAAAATGAAGATAATGATTATTTTTTCACAATATCATTGCCATATTCAGAAATTATAATTTTGATATCTAATCATCTATCTTCCTTTGCTTGGTTTTTAACATCCTCTTATTTATTCCCACTAAGCTGTATTTATTTCCAATAATTGTTTTCATGCACTGTCCTATTTTCTTAGCTTCAGAAGTCCCTTGATGTTTGTTACACTCATTTCTGTTTCACTGTACTTAAATTAGTTATGTGATTGTTCTATAATTACAATGACTAGCATAGAGCTGAAGAGTTCTTAAAAACCATTGAGGTTAGCTGGGTGCCTGTGGCTCACACCTGTAATCCTAGCTACTTGGGAGACTGAGATTGGGAGGATTATGGTTTGAGGCCATCTTGGGCAAATAGTTCCTAAGATGCCATCTCCAAAAAAAATAGCCAGAGGTGTGGTTCAAGGAGTAGAGCACCTGCTTTGCAAGTTCAAGGCCCTGAAACCCCAGATCCACCCTCCCCCCAAAATTAAAAACATTGAGCTCAAATCCCTACCTAATTCTCTTTTGTGAAGAGGAAGAGAGAGCTGAATGTTAAGGTCACTGTCCAGAACAGTCATAAACACTAACTATGTGACTGTTCCAGTAAAAAAGGTGGCCAGCCCACAGGCCATAGTTTGCTGACCTTTATTCTAGTGATTTAGGAGTACTTGAGAGTTCATGAAACATGCTCATACACGTACCTAATACAATAACCATGTGTGGTAGATGGGACACATGCGATTTATCTGCATTTCATAGGCATAGACACTCAAATAGAGAAGTATTTAGTCCAGATTTCCTACCCCAACCCCATTATCACTTACATAACTATGTAGTTCAGGAATAACAGAAAAGAAATGTGCTCACCTACAATGACATGCTGACAGGATAAACTCAGGAACTTAGGTTGTTATATAGCTCGGCTCTGGCAGAAAGGGTAATTCAGAAAGGTTTTACAAAGTTGGTCAATTCTTTTTATTAGGCTCCAATTTGTCTTTCAGGTATTGCCTTTAAGAGCTGTAAAATCCAAGTCTGAGCCAGGCTCCAGTGGCTCACACCTGTAATCCTAGCTTCTTAGGAGTTGGAGATAAGGAGAATCGTGGTTCCAAGCCAGCTCCAGGCAAATAATTAGCGAGACTGTATCTCAAAAAATGGGGTGGTAGAGTGGTTCAAGGTATAGACCCTGAATTCAAGCCAAAAATAATTAAAATCTGCATCTGTTCAGAAATTTTGTGCTCCTGATGACATCACCCCCTTATCTCTTCATGAACAGATTTTCTAGTTTTATTTGGACTACTCCAAGTACTCCCCTGCAAATATAAAGGTCTTTAAGCTTTATATGGGTTTTAAAATTTGGTAGTTTATACAAACATGTAACCCAAAGGGGCCTCCCATTTAAACATCTAATTGTGGTGCAATAGATGAGGCACTAAAATGAAAGTAAGTGAAAATTAGGGTGTATTTGTTACTACAGACTTGTAAATTTAACCTCAACTAATTTTAATCTTTAGCTTTTTTAATATAAGAAAATAATTGTATTATCATTTAACTTAATTTTAAGGGATTACATGGATCGTCTTCTTGATGAAAGTGAAAGCGCTGCTTCTAGTCGAGCACCATCCCCTCCCCCAACTGCCTCAAACAGTAGTAACAGCCAGTCTGAGAAAGAAGATGGCACTATAAGCAATAATAATCAAAATGGTAAGCAACCAAAGAAACATTTCTATTTCTTCACAGTGGAACACTTTCCTTCGGTATCTCAAGAAATCCAGTTCAGGTTTCTATTATTCTTTAAAAGTAGAAGTGAAACTTGTAAATAATGATGTCAGCATAGGTCTTTCTAACAGACACAGAATGTAAAGTAACTGGAAAGACATCACTAAAAAGTAGATTTAACTAATCAGTGATTACCATTTCTTTTTTAAAGAAATGTTTCTTAAATTTATCTTTTCTTAACTGGTTAACTTGTAGATCAAAACTCCATCCATTTCACATCAGAAACACAAGTATTTGTGAAGCACCATGAGAGCTTAACACTTAGGTGCTTTAAGCATATAGACAAAAAGTAGATAATAAGGGCACTATTTTAAATAAGTTGTCTTTGATAGTGTAATAACCTTGAAGAACAAGAAAAGATAAAGCAGCTTGTCAGCTTGTGCGTTAATATTCTTGGAAACATTTATCTCCATGAAAAAGAGAAGCAGAAGGCATACTGACTTGTTCAGCCTTGTGTAGAGGCCAACTCTAACTTGACTGGAGTTCTTGTTCTGAATGTACAGGGTATCAGAGATCACTGTGCTGATCTTTAAGACATACTCAGAGAATTCTTTTGATTTTTACTTTGATTAAAATGGTTGTCCTAACTAAGTAAGAGTATCATCAAGCAGAAGGTAATAAGCATGTACATACACCTTGCTCTTGAATGGTAAACTGTGAATTAGAAATAAGGGGAGAGCCAGTGGAGAGCTAACCTCTTGCTGGGAGTAACTGGAAGAGAAACACTGAAAGCTTTGCGCCTTGCTCTGAGCTTTGAGCTCACACTAGCAGTAATATGTATAGACCTGGTTCATTTTATGACTCCTCTCTAGTCTCTCATTTCTTCTTCTGTAAGAACAAACCAAATGATAAAATGGGGTCCAGCAGCCATGTCTTGGTCTATAATTGTTCATCTAACGCCAGTCATGTCCTTTCAATAAATGTATTATTATGTAGTACAGTAAGACTCTGAGTCTCCAACTTGGAAACCTAGGTGTAGCTAGTTACCGCTACTTCTGTCTTTTCCTATTGTTAACATCAAGAAAACATTGGTAGGCTAGGATAGGTTACCAATGTAACCTATTCAGTAGCTCAGAAGACATTCATATCAGGTAAGTGCAGTCAAGATTGCTCAGCTTTTTCAATAGAAGGATGGAGCTTTTCAGCCCACTTTATTTTATAAGGAATTTACATAGTGCCTTGACATCATAGCCATTTGTGACCTATCAGCCTGACCTAACTTTTTGGACTTGATGCTCCAGAATTGTTGCTTCAGTATGATACGATACCACATCCCTACATGTATTTATGATTTTGAGTTCAGTTTTGAGTTGAGGAAAAGTCAATAGTTTTTTTTCCAATCAAAATGTAAAATTTGAGGCTTTAGGAATACTTGTCAGGTAACTAAAATTTAACCATCGCTAGCTTATCCTGTATTTTACTTCCTGTCATCAAAATTTGTATCCCATTTTGCAGTCAACTCTGGTATCTTTCTGTTACTACTTTTATGAGAATAATTAAACTTTCACTTTCCTTACCTATTCTGGAGGACTTTTGTTTGTTGGGTTTTGTTTTTGAGACCAGGTCTCACTACATAGCCCAGGCTGGCCTCAAATTCTTGGTACTCTTGTCTCCTTCTCCTGAGTTCTTGTGTGTGCACTACCACTGCAACTAGGATTTTTATTCACAGTGAGCACTTTCCAGAGTATGTGTCATTATGACAGATTATTTGAATTCGCTTATATATAGTATGTGCTGCTCTTTTCGAGATTTACATAAGAATATGCTCATGGCATCTTGGTTTTTAAATGGCAGTAGTAAACTTACTCTTCCATAATAAAGAACACTGATTTTTGTTTTGACATGATTTTAGAAAGTCATACCCCTCTTGCTAAATCTTAATAGTTTATTAAGTCAGCTTAATTAGACTGCTGGATCCAATGACTATTTGTTGTCAATAATAACTAGAATGCTTTTAACAAATTCCAAATTCTGGTCTTTGTCCTTTTATATTTGTTAACTTAATTTTCACAACAACCCATAAAACATAAACCTTCCTTGATAAGCCATTTTGCAGTAGCTGTTTTATAGTAAAGAGCTTACTCGTTTAACTTTTTAGTATTAGGAGTTTCATTTATCTCTCTTCCAACTTAGGAGTGTCATCTAATGGACCAGGTGAAATATTAAACAAAGAAGAAATAAAGGTTGAAGGGTTACATGTTAACGGACCAACAGGTGGAAATAAGAAACCACTTCATGCAGATATGGATACTAATGGTTATGAAACAGATAACCTTACCACTGACCCAAAACTTGGCCATATGACTGCAAGACATGAAAATGATTTTGATGAAAAAAGTGAAAGACCTGCCAAAAGACGAAGAGTAAACAGCAGTGGAAAAGAAAGTCCTGGTTCCTCTGAATTTTTCCAAGAAACAGTCTCACACGGAAAATTTGAAGGACTTGAAAACACAGATGACTAAATTTTACAACTGTTTTACTTTCTTTGGAGTAAATTCTGATATGACTACAATTTTCAGGGTTGATGGGTTAACCTTAAAAAAATTGATTTTCTTGAAGCAGTGGGTAAAAATTCAAAAATTTGATTTGAGTCCTAACTTCAGGAAATAAGACTTAGTAATTCTACTTTTGCAGGTTCTTTTACTTTAAAACTGTCAAAGACCCTTTTAACAAGATAAAAACTGGCTCAGTAAATTTAATCTAAAGACATATCTGTACCTTCTCATTTGAGGTATTAATTATTAAAATTCACTACAAGGTAATTTTTCCTTAGTGTGATATGGAGGAATTTCAAAAATCAAGTTCACATTTCTCCTTTAACACCAGTTTTTCTGATTTTCTTGAAATGTCTTTACAGGAGACATTTTTCTCTCCATACAAATTGAGTGTCATTATTAAGGAAACCCTTATGAATCCTGAAAGTTATGCTAGCATGATTTTTTTATATATAGAAGTTTTAAAATAAACCAAGTCAGGTTTGTATATGTAAAATTGTTGACATCAATGATGTCTTTCCATATTCTTATCTGGGCTTAAGAAATACATTCTGTATTTTTCCAGATTCTTTGTAGCCTTTGAAAGATTTTTACAGTACATATGTCTTGACTGAGCTGTCCTTTCTTAATACAAAAGCTTGTATAATTTTCTTAACTTGTACAGTTGGTAAACTTTTATGAGAGGAATTGATATTCTAAGTCTGTCAGCTTTCATTTTATTTTGCTAAGGTTTTTCTAATGAATTTTTAAGTGTTTGTGTAGTTAACTAAGTCATGTTTCTTATCCAGGTGGTAAAAGCATTCATAAAGGATTATGAAAATTTGTTTTTCAAATTTCTACTTAAGAATAAATAGTTTGAAAATTCTGAAATTAAGCATGATACTTAGATTGGCTCAGTTTGTTTTGCATTTGCTATAATTTTCAAAATTATTTTTAAGCAAAACAAAGGTTTGTTGTCAGCTTAAGTGCTTAAATGTGTTGCGCTGACTAGAATCCTGTTCAGTTGTTTTTTATGCATTGTAATATTTCCCATTAAATCAACAGAAGGGGAAAGGTCAAGTGATATTTAGATATTGGCACACCCAAGTAAAAACTGTTGGCAGACAACAGTAATTGATTTTATCAGGAGAAAGTGATGGAGTTTGAGGAGTTTTCAGACTTTTCCAGGTATAAGCCAGTTTTTCAGATTTGGTAATGTTTTTTCAAAAATGAAAATCATTGCTGTGTGTGAATAGGATTATCCATGTTTATAGCCTTGTGTTAAGGGTGCCATTTTATTTTTAGTGCAAAATTCTTGTTAAAAAGTGTAGTTTTATACAGCTGATAGACCAACCTATATCCAAACTTTTATAAAAGATTATTAACTATTCTTTTCTTAAACAGGCATAACTCCAAATGCTTCTTCTAATTCATTTTCAGCCATCAGTTCAAGAGCCAATGCCTTTTTAAAAGAAATCTGTGGTCTTGTTTTTAAGGGCGCAGCTGTCTAATGTTGATGGAGTAGAGGCACTGAGGAATGATCATGTAGGCCTTCACCCCACAAAGTATTACCATCACATTTGTTCAGACTGCCCCCTTCTCAAACAGTGTTAAAAGCCACTTTACAACACTTGACTTCATGTAGTGTCCTTTCACTCTTGTTACATAATTATCCAAGTAAATCATTTAAGTTTTGAGTGGAAGTGTTGGGAAGCATGAGTTTTTCGTTTTTATTTTACTTAAAACATTAATTTATCCAGAATGGCAGTAGCTTTAGCATATGGTCCCAATCCATATAATCCAGGTGTTTTTTTTTTTTAAATTGATTTTGCTTTGGTTTTTTCCGTGTGTGTGTGTGTGTGTGTGTGTGTGTGTGTGTGTGTGTGTGTGTGTGTGTGTGTTGGTTTGGGGAGGGTTTTTCTTTTTTGTTTTGAGGGAGTTTTGTTGGTTTTTGAGACAAGGTCTCGCTGTTTAGTCCAGGCTGGTCTGAAAACCCACTGTGTATCCCAGGCTGGCCTTAAACATACGATCCTTCTGCCTCAAGTCTCCTGAGTGCTGGGATTGCAGATGCGCACCACCATACCCAACTACTATCCATTTTCTAAATCAGATTTTATTAAATGAATCCAAAGCATCCAAGCTCTTTGTCAGAGATGGCCTGTAGAAATGTTTTTAAAGAATAATGATTCTGTACTTTTTAAATTATTGGAACATTAGAGGTGCCATTTTCACTTTTTTAAAAAAAGATGCATCTTGTTTGCAGGCTTGCAAAATACTTGCAAACTACTATAGGAATGTTTTAAGTAGATTCTCAGGCATGTTGGCAAATGTGGCACACGTGTAAGTGTTAGGAAGTTTTCTTAATCTTTTTAATGTATGCATAATGAAAGACATTCCACTATTATAATACATATTGCTGAGCTTTTCGTGGATATTTAATTGTATTTTGTGTCTCCACAGGTATTTCACACTTTGTTCTTCATAATGCAGCCATTATAACTTGATAAGTCATTCATTGCACTATTTTTTTAAAATTCTAATAATATTATGAGTTTAATTTGCTTAAGATTTAGTACATTTTATAACTCTTGAACTCCTGACAAATTGCATTGGGAAAAGAAGCCTTTGTTCATAGTTACTTAGTCCCCTCACCCCATTCCCACCCCAGCAAAGTACTGTTATTTTCATTTGGAATGGTATTTTGTTTTGTGATGTGTTTTCAAATAGGGTTCAGAATCCGCAACTCAGTTCAACACATCTGTTGAGATTTAAAATGTATTTGAAGTAATATTTAAATAGTCATTTAAAATTATGAATTCGATGTTTTTAAATTTAAGCATAGTAATTTTGCACTGTAAAATATTTCCCTTCTCCAGTTTCCTTCTGCCATTCTGAATATGCTTATTAAAATATTTTTTAAACATATTTGCATACATAATGTGGTGTGAATGATTTTCCTTCCCTTAATTCATTGGGTTTTAATCGCAGATTTTTAAATCTTTGTGGTGCACATTCCTTACCCCACATACGTATACCAACCATGTCCCTTCTGCTCCTGTGCATAGTGCCCTGGGCATTTTTCAGTGGCTCTTGGTCTTCATTACCTGATACTGGGTGCTGCATTCTTGTCTTTTATTCTCCCTAGATAGACCTGTATTCACTGTTTCTCTTTCACTGGACTATATAACTAAAATTTTATTTGTTCTCTTTATTCCAGTGGAGTTCATATTACAGAATATTTTGCAAAATAAAACTTGTTTTGCCACAATAGTTGCTTTGCTGTCAGGGTGGGCACTTGGAGTAACTGAAGGTGAGTGAACTTCCATAGGCACTAGATGTGTGCTAATGTCCCCAGGGTGTGTAACTAACACTGTATCACTATTAAATACCAAAGCAGAAATACTAAGGTTTTCCCAACTAATCCATATTCACCAGAAATGCCAGTGTGTCCATATGAGAATAAATAGGAATTTTTAAGTTTTAACTTTATTTTTTGTATTCTGACAATATTGCTTTGTCTATCAAAATTCTGATGGCTTGAATTTTTTACTATAAAAATCAGCTGTTTTTAAATCAAGTTCATCTTGTGAAAAATCTTAATGGGTCATCTACCCAACTTACCTGATTTCATGTATTTTAAAATCTGGATTAACCTAATAGGTCACCATAAATTATGTCCCCTTCATATTGTATGGATCTTTTGACATTTGTTTGGATACGGAGTTTTTTTCTTTATGAGTATGACTTTTACATGGCTCCTATGACTTAAATGTGCTTAAAATGTAATTTTTCTTTTATTGAGTAAGAAGTAATTTGAACACATTTGTAAAGATGAAAAACATTGAAGCCATAAAAACTGGTACCAAATTCTGATTTTCCTTCACCCAAATTGATGGTGAAGGTTCTTTCATATTCATTTGTGTTTCCCTATACCCTAGTGTCCAGTAAATATTTGGGCCTATACTTGTGCCAAGTACGATGCTTGGCTTGTGACTTCAGGGATGTGGCATGTCCTTTTCTTGCAGAGCAACAGAGAAGTGTCAGGATAGAAGTACATGCTGAGTACAGAGAGGAGTAGGCATGATTTCAGGAAAATAAGAGTTTGCCTGCTTCTTTGGCATGTAATTCTAGCTAAGTAAGACTTTTCTTGGACTTAATGTTTGTTAGAAATTAACCAACATGAAAGAAATGCATGATTTCCCTCCAAATACCATTTGTTTTTAATACTAACTGCAAAGTTGATTATTTTATAATTTGTGGGTGATTCAGGACTCACCCTTTTCTTGTAATTCAGTACCCAGAGCACTACATGGTAGAGAGTGTCCTGATTTGCTGAACTTGAGGTGGGGCCTAATGTAAATTTGTCCTGATTTTACAGATTGACTCTGGCTTTCTCATCATTGGTAACACTGGTTGACTAAATAGAGGTGGCTTAATAATATATTATTCTACATACTGATGAACTTAAGTTTGCAGACTTCAAGTATTTCCAAGATAAATAGTTCGCTCCTTTCTCCCTGAAAGAAGATGGACTTTGGATTAATATGAAGATTATATACTTAAACTTTCAAAGAGAAAAAGTACATCTGGGCAGATTTGGGAGTGCCTTCTTCCAGAAAGTGGAGGAAATCAAGCAGACAGTAGTGTCAGAGTAATCTAAGCCAGTTTAAATTCCTGACCAGGAAATCTAGGTTTCTTATAAGCAGTTATTCCAAAGAACAGCTCCATAGTACCTTAGTCCTACCCTTGTCTCCAGCTGGGCTTTGGCTGAATGAACATGGGAAACCAGTCTGGCTAACAATCTATAGTGGTGCCAGTCATTCTAAGAATGCTCTTTTAAATTTATTTTTTAAATACTCTATTAATCCCCTCTGAGCACATATTTATAGATGATGGAAATTTATTTGGGTGGCTGGTGATTCTGAGCTTTTAAACAGCCTGAATCAGGAGCTTCCTGAGCTGCCTTGCCGTGTGGTTTCTTCTTTATTGCCTCTATATGCACTGTAAAAGTACTTGGGCTATGTCTGCGAATTCCTAAATGGCTAGTGCAAGTACTGGACCAAAAAATAAAACAACTTAGTTGTATCAGTTGTACCTATGAGGGAAAAGAGCAGGATGACGTATTTTTGTGAAAGGAATGTTTTCCTCCATATGTATGCACAGTAAAAATAAAGGTCATATGCTGTAAAAGTTACTTCTGAGTGGTGGAACTACAGTTGTCACACCCCCTTACCAAAGAAGTCTCATGGCATGTGTCACAGATGCCCTTTTGGGTTGGCATGATTCTTCCCCTCCTGATGGCCATGTCAGGACCATGGGCTCAGTCTTTGTCCAGTAAGTACCTATGGTCAGGGTAGGGGGACTGTTCGCCACCCTTAAGCAAATTTGCTGTTGTGGGTAGGCAGGTAAGTCTTCATCATTTGATGGCAGCTTCCTTGTGAGTCATTTCGCTAGAATTGAAGAGACATTCCCTCAAAAAGAATGTGTTCTAGTCTCAGAAAAGGTGAATTAAACAAATCATCCACCACTGTTATGTGATTGCTGTTACAGGAACTGCATGTGGCACTATAAACCACCACTCTTATTATTCTCCCCAGTTTCCAAATGAGGAAAGTGAGCCATCTTGAGAAGTTACAAGACTTCACAGATTTGTCTGAATTTTGTTTGCCTATTTTCCCAAGTCAGGTTTTTGTATTCAGCTGAAAAAACAGATGTAGCCTGCAAACTAGTCTAGCACAAGTCTGAGTTCTAGAGAAGAGAAATTCTGTCAATTTGGGGGGAAAAACAAAAAGTAAGCACTGTGCATAGCAGGAGGAGGAATAACTACATGGGGTGGGTATAAGACAGGCTGGACTCCAGGCACTGGAATTTCAATAATAGAAACTACTAGCCAGAATTTGGGATCTGTGGTGCCATGTGTCAGAAGTTCAGTGACCGATGGAATTCAAACTACAAAGTCCCTCTAGTATTTTCCCAGGCACCAGGTAATTAACTCTCTTGGGCCTTGTGTGACCTCAGGGAAGGACTGGCACTGAATTTCATGGAAGGTGGCCAAAACAGGGACTCGGATTTATTTTGATTTACAGAAATAAGTAATGTGACATTTCTTCCACAAATACCATACTTTCCCGCTTATTCTAGGGAGCACCACCATATCTTTACTATTTAAAAAAAAAAAAAGACTTCATCATTACCTATTCTACCTCCTAAAATAATTCAGGTTCTTTTTCTCTTTGGTTTCTCTTCTGTGTGTTCACAACCACACGTCAGGACCTCAGGTCCACTTGTACAATAGTCTCCTAGGCCTGATGCACCTACCTCAGTCCTGCCCCTCCATGTCCCCTCCTCCTCTGCAGAGCATCCCCAGTGACCCTGATACAGTGTAAATAAGATCCAGAGTAGGTCCTCAGCTTAGTTACACTGGCTGCCAGGAGGCCAAGTCTCTATATATCAATGCCTTTGGAGCAGGCGACCAGTCCTACCATTACTGTATCAACTGCATTCATTCAGATCCACTCCACCTGCCTGCCCTGTGAGACATCTGAATTTGCCAATCTCTGATCTTGAGCATATAATTCAAATACTTCAGCTGGTCTTAGCCTTCTAAAGTGCAGATGGGGGTGCTTATGTCTTGCTATGCTCCCCCACCAAAAAACAATGTAGCTATTGGCAAGTCTGTCTAGAGAACTCATTCAGCAAACACTGTGTGCCTACCTGAACACAAAGACCTACTTGTTTGTAGATGTTGGGCCTAAATCTGATTAGACAAGTGCTGAAGAATGCGTGTGTGTGTGTGTGTGTGTGTGCGCGCGCGCGCGCGTGCGTGCGTGCTAGGGATCAG